AAGAAATAAAATAAAATGCCACGAAATACATACAGGGGGCTAGTCTATGGGGTTTCTATCAGAAATATTTAGTATAGTATTTTCTAGAAGCAAGGAAGTGGACGATTTCCTGAGCAGATTCAGCTTCCCCTATTTTACATATCTATAATTAGGATGAGAAATATCAACCATATATTCTACCTTTTTTGCTTTTTGTTTTTGTTCTTTAAGACAAGGGTTTCTCTGTGTAACAGTCCTGGCTGTCCTGGAACTTGCTATGTAGACCAGGCTGGCCTCTCACTAACAAATATCCTCCTGCCTCTTCCTTCTTAGTGCTAGGATTAATTTGGGCCCTGCTTCTACCTTAATTTTTAATTTCAGACAGGGCATCTGATCCTGTTGCTAGCTTTGCAACCTTCAACCACAAGCTGCAAACTGGAAATCAGTGAAGCAATCACAAGGTTTCTCCACAGCCCCCTCAGGCCATAGGAAGCTCGTGTTAGCCATAGGGCTGTGATTAGTTGTTCATGTGTGTGAAAAAGAACCATTTAACCCTTTCCTATGCAACATGTGTTAGTCAAGGGTTCCCAGACAAAATCTGCAGAATGCAAAGAGAGACAGTTGGTAAACCTCAAATTCAATCTCTAAAACTCTCTAAGAGTACATGTTTACAGAGCTATGTTAACAGGGACAACCTTGTTACTATGTGGTCCCCTCCCCCCAGAGCTCAGAGAGCAAGGCTTTTGCCTCTGCAGCCTCAATAGTTAGAGCTTTCAGTGTGAAAACAAGGGCTAGGCGTAATTTTCTAAATTATATGAAAACTGTACTAAGGGGCTCCGCATGATCTAATAGGCAGGGTAAATAGCAGAGGAGAGCCAGAAGAGAATTATGTGGCTGGCTTGAGAGGTTTAACTGCATGCCCTTAATTAGGTTTAGCCTTACCTGGCCCACAAGCCAGCTCTGTGTTAATTAGAAGGGATGATCTGTAAACAAGTGAGTCTCTAGTCTGCTCGTTTTGTAAATCCTGTCGGAGCCCTCAATAGACATGTCTCCAAGAAACCTCACTGTGTCTGCTGACAGGGTTATCTTATTGTGGCTCTAAGGTGGTATGTCAGTTATTAGACGTCCCTATGAGCGATCTGGTCCTTAGAGACTCAGGATGGTTTAGAGCTTGTCGTCTGGTAGGATGCATCTTGGGAATGGGCAGGAAGCCAAGTTCCTTCCCTTACTATCAGCTTGGATTGGCTACTTCCCACGTCATCGTTTCTCTCTGCAAAGCGTGGATTTTCCTGGGGCCGGCTAAGCTTGGACACCGCGTTCTCAACACCGCCAAGCACTTGAAAGAACTTGGCCAATGATTCTGATGATCTAAGATGTAATTTTACAAAGACTTCCCTTCTTCTCAAGGCTTTCAAGTTTAATTAACCTCATTAAATACTAGTGTTTTAAAAATTCTGCTACAAAAAAATTCTAAGAACCCCTATGAAAAAGGTAGAGGCACAATAGTAATTAGTTTCCTTTCAATCGTCTCCAAACAACTTCAGCTAAAACAGTGGCTGTCATCTGTCCTGGGTACACGTGACAAAGAAGAAAGAGAAGGGAAAGGGGGTCATTAGGAAGTTGGGTTCAAGAACCTTCTCTGGTAAAAGAACTTACTTTTGGCTGGCTTCGATTATCTTACCTACAATGTAGGTAGAAGGGAAGGAGATTAATTTTTCCAAGGCTGGTCGCAAAGTGGAATAAGTGCTCTGTATATACCCAAAGATCTTTGGATGCCCATGTTCTCATCAAAGCTAATGAACGAGCCAGATGTCAATCTTAGATATTGCCATTTGTGATGTCCTTCCTTGTTATTTGGTGCCAAGTCAAGAACCACCGATTGTGACCTTCAAGTGCCTTTGATGCTTAAGGGTCTGTGGTACCCTGCTGTCCTACACGTGTGGTAGGACAGACACCTAGCTTCGGCTCTCAAGTAACGGGAGGCATCTTAGTAATGAGTCTGGTCCTCCTGCCGCCTGCCTCACTGTGTGCAGTCCACCCTGGCATGTGGGCAGTGCTAGAGCTGTATCCTGGGCTACCTCGAAGGAAAAAGTTAATGTTATATCCTACCTTAATTTAAAAAAACAAAAAATAAAAGTCACTCTTGCCCCTGAAGTGTTTTGATGACTTTGCTAAAAAATTGCTTCAAGGACTCCTTTCAGAAACGATGGCCCATAGACACATTAAGTTTACTGGCTTGCCCAATTGCAGTTCTGGAGAATAATTAACCCTACAGTGTTCTCATGAAGACTGGCCTCTTTCACAGGAAGTGGGTGCCAGGTCTGTCTGTCCAAACTGCCTGCTGTTTCGCTCAAGAGGTTGGGAAGCAAGAGAGGCTCCGGTTGGCAGGCATCCGTTCCCCTACCTTGGAAAAGGAGGCCTGACAGCACCACTTCTTTGTTTAGAAAGGAGCAGCAGAATGACTGGGGCGAGCTTTCAAAGTGCACAAGATGCTCATTTGTGTCTGAATGAATGCCGGGGATTTCCACTCGCTAAATACCCAGCAGTAATGAAAAGAAAAACTGGTTTTCATTAGGCTAATTAGGCTTGGAGAGAAAGAAAGGGTGGCCCTTAGGGAGACTGCCCTTAGGCCACCTAGGGCCACTCTAACCTCAGGGTCAGCATCACAGTATGTACAAAACAGTGCCCAGAAGGGCAGTGCTTAGAGCTTGCTTCCTTGAGTTTTTGTCTTGAAATTCTTAATATCTGAGGACTGGGATGTAGCTCAGAGGTACGTACTTGCAGACCATGCGTGAGGATCAGGGTTCGCTCACAGCTCTGAAAAGCATTCGTTAGTATGTGTTGGGGAAATGAACTCTGAGGGGATTGCAGAATAGTTAGTTGTTCATTTATGATCATGACTATTATTCCTGATAGGTTATGAAAGAAACTGCTGAAGTACTTTCTGAAACACTTTGAAAGGCATATGCTAATAGAGCCATTTTGAGTTTTGCTACCCAGGCTTCTAGGGGTTCTCTCAGATTCACCAGAAATTTTTAGGGGATGAAAAAAAATTTTTTGTAGAGAAAATTTATACAACAAAACGGCGCTTGCTGTGTTCATTCTAACACCACAGCCACAGCAGGTTAACTACAGACAGGGACCCAGGTAATGGGACTCATTCTGATTTGCTGGGATGAGTGACTGCCAGGGCCAGAGAGAATGTGGACATCAGCTCACAGACCTCTAGCCTGCTTTCCTGATGGTGACTGTCACTAAAGCCGTTCTTCACAGAACACAGATTCAACTGTGGGCACAAGAAAGCTGATGCCCCTGTGGAAATATTCTAATGGGTCGTTGGGATTCTAGGAAGTACAGAAAGCTGTGTCCCTGACCCATTTTTTTTATCATTTTCTTATGTATATTGAGCATTAGCTTTGTATCAGGTGTCTTTATGTTCATGAACCTCAGAGAAGGCAACTTTACCACCTTTCGAGAAAGAACCCTTGAGGTGCCTGTAAATTAAATGACTTCACTAAGAATTTCCAGTCAGTGAGAATGTACCTAGTGACTTCAGGAACACACATCTATTTTGATTGATTACAAAGTTTCCCTCGGAGTAAAACCTTCTATAGCTTTTGCACCAGGCACCCTCCAAAGTCCTTTATGTACTGTAAAACCCTGAGATGGTCCTGGGAAGTAGAAGTTACTACCCAACTTTACACACAAGGAAACAAGGCACTAGACTTAAATGGGGCTGTCACACAACCAGCAAGTGACAACATCCGACTACGAATAAACAGCTAATGGATTCCTACTCAAAAGTCAGCCAGTAAGCTACAAGGTCTGACCTTTCAGAGTTATACGTAAGCATTGCCGGAAAATATAAATTCAAGTATATGAACTAATAGAGGCACAGATCAAAGGCGCATTCTTTAAAGAATGAGTCAAATGTTTTCCCAAGTTCTTTCAGGGACTCAAGAAAACAAGACTATTAAAAACGCCAGCTAGGGCTGAGCAGTGGTGGAGCACACCTTTAATCTCAGCACTTGGGAGATGGAGGTAGGCAATTCTCTGTGAGTTCAAGGCCAGCTTGGTCTATAGAGCTATTTCCAGGACAGCTAGGGCTTTAACACAGAGAAAACATGTCTCAAAAAAAAAAACCCAATAAATACATAAATAAATAAAAATAAAAATAGCACAGCTAAATTAGTTCACACCTATTGACACGTCCAGCATTGTGCAGCATCTTACACCCATTGCCTAACTCTTTCATCTGCCGAAATTTTCAGACCATAACGCTATGCTTTTTATTCTTTGAAAAGTCTGTGAGCCACATTAAGTGTAGTCCACAGGAACTGTAGTTTAGACCCCCAAAATTTCTATACATTTCCCAATTCCTCGCTCAAGATATTGCCCTTTCCCGCTGAGAATATTACTAACCCAGCTACTCGGAGAAAAGGTACCTGATATGGATTACAAGATCTCTGTCAAGACCGGGAAGGAAACAGCTGGGAAATGCTGCCTATAAAAACAAAACAGAAACCTAAAGGAAACATTTTTTTTTCCTCCAAAGCTGGGATAAATGATTTAGGAAAAGGCTAAGTAGATGAGACATAGAAAATAATATTTCAGAGTGTGACCAGCTGCCGAAAACAAACCAGATTCAGAAGGACAAGTACCACCTTCGCTTTCATATGAGAAGGGCAGAGAGCAGCGGATCTAACTGTAAGAGTGATTGACAGAAGACAATAAAGGTGCTTGTGTGGGGAGGAAACTAAAGAGGTGATGGATTTGGGCAACACGTGTGTATACACATACAGAAACAACATTGAACTGCAAGATCATATACAATAGTACATGTTAACCAAAGTAAAAATTACCTCATCATCTGATCTCATACTAATGATTTAAAAAGTCCTGGCGAAGGTTTTACTTCCCCTACTGGGAAGCGACAGAGGCCGGGCTAGCCTGAAACTCCCTTACAGGATGGGAAATTGTGTCTGGGAGAATGTGACTGTTTTTTTTTCCCCTTTTATTACCATGGCTTTGTTGGAATGGCCACCTCCTTGGAACTCAATGGTCCCAAAAGCATCTGTTGGGCTGAGCTGAGTGTGTTTGCTGATGGACCACTTCTCAGACTGGACGTCATTTCGGGAGAGGCGACTCTCATTTTTCTCGTTCTGAAGCACAGAGATACTGGGAGTGAGCCCGACATGCTGGCCTATTAGGCGCCCACAGCAACACCTATAATATGAGAGGTTAAAGTGAACCCCTTGCATCAGTCATTACTAGAACACACATGCAAGCAGCCTGTTAGAGAAACCCACAGACCATGCTGACTCTCCAGGTAAGTGGTAGGTAAAATCCCAGAATGCAGTCTTATCAGGAAAATGACGGAGAAAGGCTTCCCATAATACCCCATCGACTGCTCTTCCCCTCCACCCAGCTTATCCGTACTTACTGTCCTCAACACCCACACCTTTAAGTACTTGGCATTTTATGGGCAATTGTCAGCGGAAGTTCTCTAGGTGTTTCCACTTTTAACTGCTCCCATCTGTCAAACCTCACATAAAAGATGCTAAAGAGCTTGGGGTGGAGGACGACTTTTAACACGTACATTTAAATGAGGACTCTCAGCTGTGTGTGGGTCACAGCCTAACTCATCTCTCCAATTGAGATTTACTGTCCAATACTCAGTTCTGAGAATAAAAATCTGTAGGTTTTTTTTTTTGGAGAAGAAATGAGAAAATCTGGAAACTTAAAATTTTTTTCCCTCTGTCATCAAAATGTCCTTCGAAAGTTATGATGACCACTATTACAATTATTAGTAATGATAGTTACATAGCATTCTGTTACACAGTAACAATTAAGGACACACTGATGGCAAACTATTGCCGTCTTGAAGCTTAAGCAATGTATCCAAGGTTAGGTATCTAGTCCACGGCTGCAAGATCTGTGTTTTAAGACACTTTTTAAAATTGCCCCTTCCAAAGGCATTTCCAGATGACGATGTACTACTATTGTAGCATCCTGCTGTACGTACTGCTGATTTCCAGGAAGGTAATTACAGAATTACAGTGCCAAAAAAGTGCAGAGCAATCTGAAGGATTAAACCCTAATGAATCTTCTAGGAGTGTTTCATTCAATACTTTTTCCCCCTATACCATGGCATGTTAGCACCAATGAAACAGGTTGACAAAATGTTAAGGTGAAAAAATAAGTACTTGTAACAGAACTATAGTATATTGCTATATGCAGGGACCAGCCTTTCTACAATAGTGAATCTGTTCCTTCTTGTACAGACACTTAGTTGAAGATTAACTTTAGACTTGCATATTAAGCAGTGCAGTATATATTTGCTCCAAAATATATTTAATTTGGCAGTGGTTCCCTGGAAGATGTAGTAATTACTATTGGGCTCTATCCCTATAATTACTACTTTACATTCTTATGGCATTAAAGACCACAGGATTACCTATGGGGGTCTTTGGTGCTGGGTATGATGTGAACACATTCTCTTTTATAAAATGCTCGTTCAATCCAGGATTTCTGAGCCTGAAAGAGAGAGAGAGAAAGAAGAATGATGAGCATAATTTTTAAATCTTTTTGCCTTGATAACAACACATGCAATGTAACATACAGTATACTAGTATGTCATAAATAGATTCCACGCTGTACATCATCCAACCAGCCATTCTCAGAACCTGCTGCTTGTTTTAACATTATAATATTGAGAAGAATGGAAACAGCCAGACTGGAAAAAGTATTGGTAATAGGACTGTAGACATGTTCATTATGGTTTCTAAAGGACAGAAACACAAGGCTATTCATAGAGAAAATGAAATTGAAGGAACAGAACATGACATTTATAATCTTACAAGAAAAGTGAAATTCAAAAGTCAGAGGAAACACACCTAGTTCAGTATCAGGTTTTCACAGCTGAAGCTTCTATCAGATTTTCGTTACAGAAGGAAAGGAAGATGGCTGAGGGGGTGCATAACTCCAAATCCCTGCTACATCACTAAGGTTCTTTAAAACCAAGTTTGCGATACAGAAAAACAGAGAGGGAGAAAAGGAAATGGGAAGACAGAGGATAAACGTAAGCACGGCCTCTAGCCTCCCAGGTAATGCTTGGGAAGGGAGTGGGCACATTTCCTCATTTATCCTACATACATGCAGAAAAGTTTGGCTGCTTACACCCAGACACCTTGGCATCGAGATGGTGTTCCTAAGTGTGCAAAGGATATTCTGTTCATCAGAAGGATATTTTCCTCCCAAGCATAATCTGTCTTTCATATATGGGCTGTAGACCACATTATCCAACCATAACTATGCACGAAGCTCCGCACATCTGTAGATGAAAACACCATGCCACAATTTCGAAAGCCTGGATACCCTGGATCTCTTCCTTCAAAAGCATTTGAAACAGAAGAGGAGTCTCCGTGAAACCCGCTAAACTTCTTAGGAGATTCCTATCCTAAGTACTTAAGATGGAAGTCACCGGAGCAAACCTTAGTTATCTCACATGGCATTATTTTACTGTCACACCTAAAATCATATTCTTAAAATATCCTGGCCCGATGTGCGACTGAGATGTTCACTTGACCTGTGTCAATCACTGGTGGGAACTGCTACCAGCTTCTACTTGCTATGTGTAATTAGTCCCGATTCCCTGGGCACACAGTGCTATCTGAGTCTTGTGCCTTCTGGTGTACACTTATTCCCTTGATCTCATACAATGGAGGTCTGTGTATGTGATATCCATAGTGGTAGTTATTTAATACTTACAGTAATGCATATTCTACACATGGCCACACGGAGGATGGTTGAGGGCCATCAAGACACTGTATTCTCTTTCAGTAATGGTCACAGTGGGGCCACTTAATTTCTGGTTTCCCTACATTGTCTTCATTTAAAGCTGCAGCCCACACTGCCGCCAAGGTCTCCAGGTTCTGGTGCACCTCTCTACCTTCACGCACACAGAAGGCATTTGTAATTTTGTTTGCAGCAGGACATGAAAAAAAGAAAAAAAAATCTCTTCTCAAAGGGTTTCCTTCTTTGAGAAGAAAGCTACTGACTCCACCTTTGCAACAGAAAAAAGCTCAGCAGCAGAGATAACCGTCTTTATCTTTGTAAAAAGCCTGTAAATTGAACTATTCATAGCCCATGGTGCTGAAACACTGAATACTTTTGTTGATGTTATCTGACGTTCCTCACCGGACATTTGAAACCCACTCTCCCTACACCTTGGGGAAGAGTGAAGAAAGAATGTACTTTTTGTTGCCGGTCCTGGCAAGCCTTCAAACGAATCTTTTGGGGCATCATCTGCCTGCTCCAGTGAGTGCTGGTCCATGTTCCAGGAGAGGAAGTTGGAAAGGTAGCATGCGTGGAACATAAAATCTACAGCTGAGAAAGGAGCATGAGCAGGAAGGGCTCTCATAGATGAGAACAGTTAGGAATTCTTCTAGCTTCAATTTTCCCCATCTGTATACTGGGTACAATAATCAAGCTTGACATACTGGGTTGTTGTTATTTGGGGAATACCATGCTTGACTCCAAGAAAAGAGAATGACCTTGGCTTTTGTTTGTTTATTGAGACAGGTTCTCACTCTAGTCCCAGTTATCCCAGTGATAATTCCTAAGTCTAGCTGACGTTAAACTTGAGCAGTCACTATCCTGAACATCCCAGGCACTGAGAGTAAGGCATGCACCATCATGCCTGACTTCTGGACTGATTCACAAACTATACATTCAGATGGAAGGTCATATGAGGGTTCTATAGAATACTGGTAGAAATGGCCACTCCTCTGTTTGGCTCTTAGAACACTGGACTGACAAGTAACAAGATAAGTAAAAGAGTTACTGACTTTCTCTGAGCCTCATGTGTAGCATATAGATTCTAAACCACTATGGAGGGTTTTATGATAAACAGACCAAGAGGTTCATCTTGCACACCTAGCACATAGTAGGAGCTCAGCAAGGTTGCATAGTAGCTAGCATTTGTTAAGGGTCCATTATGTCCTTGGATCCACAGAACAGCACCGATGGGGAGGGACCATCTACAATGCGACATCGAGTTTATCAATGAAAAACAATGGAACCAGAGAGATATGACAAGTTAAGTTCCAAAGCCACAGTTTGACCTTGAGCATCTTTGTCCAAAGATCTTTCCTTTTCCCCCTTGAATACATTGCTTTCCAGAGGAGACTGTACTGCTTCTGAATGTCCTTTATGTGTGCAGTGCCGTCTGAGATGCCTGGGACTAGTTCTGTGTTTGGACCACACTGAACTCCTAGTGGTATGCTGAGAACTGGTTCAGACTTGTTTCTTCCCCTCCCACCTCCACAGTCTAGCAGTCACCCTTGGAGGTGGGAGTGAACTCTCTGCCTCCTGTTGTTTCTCTCCCTTTGGGGTAATGGATGGGATGTCACTTTAGGAAGACCCCAATATATAAGGCAGAAATTAAAAAAGGGGAGAAATGTTATTATTTCTGTGGCAGTGAAAATATGGAATGATAACTAGACTTTAAATTTGAGAATATGGGGTCGTGCCAAATGAATCAGAGTCTTCGAGGACACTGTTGTTATTAGTTTCAATTTGGGAGGTCCTGCAAGCTTTAGTAATATGATGTGTAGAAAAATTATTGCATAGGGATTGTCAATTTGTTTGTAAGTCTTTCAGAGGAAGGTGATTTGGCTTGTGTGCAGTCCAGCAACTTAATTACATTCTCCAAGAAAAGCAACCTCTATGCGGGTGAATGGATGAGAAATCACTTCTGTTTCTTGGTATTAGCAGATTAATCAGTTCCTCTGCCATGGCACAATTGGGAAGAGAAGAAAGGTGAGGTAAAAAGGTCTTCCTGTCATTCGTAATGAACTTTGACTCTTTGCTTATGAGGCAAGAATAATTTATCCTAGGAAGTGGGTATGCATAAGAGCCAAATTCTCCAAAAGTTGCATAATTGATTCTGCTATATTGTTGGGTTGGCTTCCTTGTGCCTTTATTCAGGTTGCTAGTGTGGACAGATATTCGATTTAATTTCTTTTCTTTTGGAAAGGGCATATTTTGATGTACAATCATGATTTAACTTGTGGCCTAAAAGAATTCCTTTTTCTTTTGTT